TCTGGAAAACTTCCGTGCATTAGAGTCGTAAGCTTTAGTGTGCATACACATCACCTGAGAATCTAAGATGCAGATTGTGGCTTAGTCGATCCAAGGCAGAGGTCAAAATTCTGCTTTCTTAACATGTTCAAAGTGCCAAAGCTGTGGACTCCTGGACCACACTTCGAGTAGCAAAGCACTAAGCATTAAAGTCTTAGGCAAAGTTTCATCCAATTTGAGATTTGAATTTCTGGAAGGGAATGCCAGGAACAGAGCACTTTAGCCCAGAGGAAATAATGCAAAATGATAGAATTTCATTCAAAAATAATAGAATTTTTCAGTTATCACACGAGATTGATGAAACATCAGATAGCCTCTGACTCCTACAAACAATACCAAGAGATATTTCCGGTCACTATCTAGTTAGTAGGTGACACTTGTGGCATATTATAGGTTATCCAACAGAAAAGGTTGTATTTGAACCCCATCTATTCTACTTGTTCATGACAAGATTTTATCATTTCACTTCAGTCTTATAAACCTTTTAAGTTGCCTTATCTATTAAGAATGTGTAACACTGCAGAGTTTCTTCGAGAATCAGATGAAATGGTATATGTGACACTAATAGCAAAGTACCTGACATTTCCTCGAGGCCCAGCAAACTTATTAAATCTCACCCCAAATCTCTTCCAGTTGGCTGTGAGGATAACACTGGAATCAAGCTGGTGGACTGAGAAGAGAAATTCTGAGATATGTCTGCTTTTAACTTGATTAAACCTTAGAGGTTAAGATATTTTTCATGAACTAAATTCATCTCTCTGTAAAAAAAAAAAAAGCAATGCAAATACATTCCACGCAAATGCCTTCAGGGAGAGGACATAATTTCATCTTTACCTATTTTTATATTTCTTTACAGTTGCCATGAGAGCATTTTAATAACCTCCATGGAGTTGAAAGTGATACAGGTAATTGCCATAAGTAATTTAAGGGCTATTAAAGCTAACAAACCTCTCCTGTGGAATACCTTGTTAAGCAGTGATCAGCAGAAAACATGTAAAGATCGTGCACACTGTAAATTCAAGCGCCTTTTCCAGCTAAGAATAAGTGAAAATGTAATTACATTACACATCAGAAGGGTGCAGACATGAAAGCCTTTCTTGTCGCACTCTTGGCTTGGCTCAAGCTTCTGATGCCCTGGTATTCTAATGAGATCTATTTCCTTCAGGAAAGCCAGTTTCATCCTGATGTCACTTCCCAGAAGCTTTCCCATGCATGCTTCTTAAGATACCAGTAGAAACATTTTTTAAGCACAAAGCCTCTAGGGATCTAGGTTCAAACCCAACATAAGCCAACCACTAGCAGTGTGACCTTATGTAACTGTCACCTCCCTAGCCAGGACCACTGCAACTACCCAATGAAAAGATTTTATTGTGTACCCTGGATGTTCTTGTCCAGCCCTGAAATCCTTTGATCCTAGACAACTTCTATACAAAAAAAAAAAAAACCTTTTCTGACTATTTTAACTATCAAAGTTATAACCGTGAATGAAAAATCGGGTATAAAAAGGAAAGAAGAGATGCATGAAAGACATAAGTTAATATTACAGAGTTCCTGCACTTTAAGTCTCCCAGAACTAAGTAGACTTAGCCTCAGAATTAAGTGACTTCCCCTTCATACACTGACCTAATAAACTTGATTTCCTTAATGGCTAGGCTCAGGAAGCACTCCAAGGGACACGTTAAGGGGGAGAAAGAGAAGAAAAATGGGCAAAAATACTGACAGCAGTAAGTAAAAGCCAAAAGAAAACCAGAAAACTTGAAGAGGCAGGGATTTGTCTGGCTCACTACTGTGTAGCTGGGGACATGAAATGTGCGCCTCATATGGTGAACGAATGAAAAATCAATAAATTGATTAATGCAATACTTTTGAAAATGCTGCACTACTTTGTCTGATAGCAAAAGTTACATTTTTAGTTACATAGGTCTTGCTTTAACTTGGTCTTAACCACCCAGTAGAAAAGTGTAGCCACTAAAGCTGGGGGCCCGCCCATTAGCTCAGGTGTTTAAGTGCCTGCTGAAACAAAGTAGTTAGGCTCAGGATGCTGTGGTTCGATCCCCTCATCCTCAAGCCAAACCAGACCTGCCCTGAAGGCATCCTGAGCAGCCAAAAAAAAAAAAAAAAGCTATATTAATAAGCTGAGCTATAAAAGGCTCAAGTCAACAGCTTCCGACAATTGCCAGTTGTTCTGATAGCTCACTACTATTACGAACTATTGGACTATATTAGGTTATTTTGCTGAATTCAAGTACCTACAGTTCTTGAAATGTCATCTAGTATGAAAAGGTCCTCTAAAGACTTCTCCAAAAACAGCTTCTCTAACTGCAAAGGAACACACATCTCTGACAAAACCAAACAAAAAAGGTGAATATGTTGGGAGCTACGAAGCTGGGAAATCAAAATTGATCAAATGTGTGTAGATGGGACTTGACCTCAGGGCCTAAAGCAAACAAAACTACCTCAGTCCTGGGATACTAGGAAACCTTGTGTCACATGTTACTAACTTTGCAAAAGTATAAATAAATACCATTTTTTGTGAAAAAAATAAAAAGAAAACAGAAAAAAAGCTATACTATTTACCACAGATCCAAAGGACCATATACACATGAAAACCCTCCTACAGTTTCACATACTGCAGTAAATATTCCTTTTTTATTATTATTAATTTTACTGAGAAACAAATAGCAATAAGACAGTTTCAAAACTGATTAGTAGGACAGTTTAAATAATTAACACATTGTATATTGTTGTCTTAATGGTTATTCATTGTACAAGATGCAGACATGATATCCTGTCCACAAACACTATTAGAACAAACTTTTCTATTCATTGAATTAAGAAAAAGTAGCTGAAAAAAAGAGAAAGTAGCTGTATATCTATCCTAACCATTTTAAATATACAGATACAAAATTGTCGTTCATTTGTATCCCCCCTTTTTTTGTTTAGTTTTGTCAGAGAAGGATATTCCATTGTCTTTAAATATTGTAGGTGTGTGAATTCATAAGATAATCCAATATAGTCCAGTAGTCCATAATAGTAGTGGATTTTCCGTAGGACTGGCAATGTCAGAAGTTGTTGACTTGAGCCTTTCACAGCTCAGCATATTAATATGGCTTTACTTTTTATACTTCATTTTTATATTTTTCTGCTGGATGGTTAAGACCAAGATAAAGCAAGATCTATATAACAAGAAATATAACTTTTGTATCTGATAAGCTCAGCCAAATCCCCTCAGGATTTATCCTGAAACCCTGTACTGCAGTTTGCAGAGATCTTTTGTCAGTGTCAGCCATGTGGATGAGTCACAGTCATTGCTTGACCAATGTGCTCTCTGTGAAAGCCTGAGAGAATGTTTTCTCTCCATGTGACTCTCCTTAGGTACACTCTTCATCATCGATCACGTTGCTCTGTAGCCCCATAATCTCCTTGATCAAAAAACTTGGGACACAACTGAGTTACAGGACAGGTTCTCTTATGTCCTGAGTCTTCACTGACCTGGAAAGGCTAGGGCCAAAATGTTGGCTATCCTTGGAGCCCTTCTTTTTCTCTAATTTTTGGTCTGCAGTTAATATTTCTGTAGTAGGCTACAATGCAGCAATGAAGATTTAAATTACATCTACAATGAGCTCTCACTGAGATGATAACTGATTTCTTCTGGTTAAATGTGGTAGACTGAACACATGTTTAATCTCTGATAAGAGCAAAGTGGACTCTGTGAGCGTGTGTGTGTGTGTGTGTGTGTGTGTGTGTGATTTCCATGAGAAGAAAGAAAGATCTGGTGGACTAGAAGTGTCAGCCCACATTGCTGGACTTGAAAACATCAAATAAAATTATTAGAGCTGATAGACCTCACAGCAGGGGTATGCAGAAAGGCTCCAATGTGAAGCCAGCCAGGACCAGGCTCAGAGTCCTGGAAAGAATAATCAGAAGCTGCAAGAGGCTTGGGGTTCCTTTTTCCCCACATCCCCTCCAGCATGTGTCATTGGTTGACTGCTTGATGATAGCCATTCTTTCTGGGGTGAGATAGAATCTCAGTATGGTTCTAATTTGCATTTCTCGAATGATAAATGCTGTTGAACATTTTTTTCATATATTTATTTGCCATTTTTATTTCTTCATCTGAGAAGTGTGCATTCATCTCAGTTGCCCCTTTTTGGATTGAGTCTTTGAATTTGGGGGTCCTGATTTTTTTAATTCTTTATGTTCTGTGCCTTTGTCTGAAGAACAGTTGCCTACAATTTTTTCCTAATCCATGGGTTTTCTTTTCACTCTGTTGGTGTGCTACTCAGCTATAAAGGATAAACTTGAGGCTTTTATAGGCAAATGGATGCAACTAGAGGCCATACTCATAAGTAAAGTAAATCAGACTCGTGTATAAACATCATACTGTTTCGTGTAATAAAATGAAAGAGTAAATAAGATCCAAAATCTACAATATATATTGTGAAAGAAAAAGAAACAGCCTGAAAGGAACAACTGGAATGAGGGAAAGGAGAAAAGAAGGAAGGGGAAAGAAAAAAAAGAAAGAAAGAAAGAAAGAAAGAAAGAAAGAAAGAAAGAAAAAAAGAAAGAAAGAAAGAAAGAAGAAAACTAAGACAGTTATGCTACTAATTTCTTTTAATTCATCGAAGAAAACGGCTTGTGCTTATATCAGTTGCTCAATCTTCTATACCTATTTCTTGTAATCTGAGCTGCTCTGCAGATAAAATATGCAATATAACAACCATATGCCAGATAATTACGATTGTTAATTTCATATTATCAGCCCTGGGCGGCGGGGCCGGAGGTGGAGCGGTGGTGGCTGCTGAGCGGGAGCCCGGGTGGGCTCCAGGTGAGCGAGAAGCTGCGCAGTGTGGAGTCCGCTGGCCTGGCCGCCGCGGAGCCATGGAGATGGCGCGGAGATCAGCCGCAAGATCCAGAGTGCCATTAAAGGGAAATTGCAAGAACTGGGCACTTATGTGGATGAAGAACTTCCTGATTACATTATAGTGATGGTGGCCAACAAGAAAAGTCAGGACCAAGTGACAGAGGAGCTGTCCCTGTTTCTAGAAAACACAATTCGCTTCACCGTATGGCTTCATGGTGTATTAGATAAACTTCACTCTGTTACAACTGAACCCTCTAGTCTAAAGTCTTCTGATACCAATATCTTTGATAATAGTGTGCCTTCAACCAAGAGCAGTTTCAGTCGGGAAGATGAGAGAAGGCGTGAAGCTACAGTGCCTCCCTTTGCTGTTTCGAGCACTAGACCTGAGAAAAGAGATTCCAGGGTTGCTACAAGTTCACAAGAGCAGAAAACAAGTAACATGAGACAGACTTATGATGATGGAGCGGCAACCCAACTGATGTCAACAGTGAAACCTCTGAGGGAGCCAGCGCCTTCTGAAGATGTGATTGATATTAAGCCA